AGAGTCGACTGTAACCGACTCGCTCCCACACCCTCCCCCAGGCGCGTTATACACAATTCTGACCCATAAGCTTGGCCGTGTATGTCCGACGACAGAATCCGTGACTTCAGTCGGTACCGTTCAGCTCATCCGTCATTATCAAATAAACGACACCAATACATTGACAGGGTCGGTTTGGATACTCGCGTCCAACACCAGCCATCCTTTGTCTCCCAGCCCATCGCTATCAGTTCTTATATCTCATGTCAATTGAATGAACGTCGTCTCGTGGTTGGAAAGTATCGAACCCAGCGCTTCGGACGACAGCGCCCATCCGCGACTATGCGATACCCGGAAGGGTAAACGTAAACGACGACAAGTTCCTTCGCCATCCCCCTCCGTGGCTGGCATGAACGCCGCCGCGACACCGCCTACTAAGCGACCACGACCTAATAACGATGACGGCAATTCGGAGCTAGAACGTACGCCGACAGGGCATAGCAATGCCTGGTCAACAGAAAGCAGCCGGTCATCAGCATCTCGAATATCCGCTACGAAGCGCTTGGCCAAACTCGAGGTTACTAGGAGTCCGGTCCATATAACACAGATCAGCCAGAATGACGGTCGCATCCCGCTCGAGCTCAAGACCATACTACGGCATTTGGACAGCTTTCAACAGCGCGTGGGCATAGTGCCCGCACACCTCATGGCTGAAGTCCAGGCACGCGCCAAAATAGATGATGACTTCTTCAACTTCACGCCTTGGACGTTTGCTAGCGGTACTGCCGACGATACTCTTCTCTCATCGTCCCCGGCGCCCTCTCTATGCGAGGTTTTGAAAGTGTTCGACTCCGCCAAAGAATGTTTAAACGAAGATCATGCTGAATCGACGTGGAATGCTCTCGTTCACTGGCCCGTCTTTGAATTGGCCTTGGGGCCGATAGCGGATACCATAAGAGCGACGAACTCTCTCGGTCCTGGAGATGAGTCGGTGGTTCTACGGCAAACTCGTGAACAAATTCGGATTCGTGGCATGCCGTGCACGGCAGCGAGGCTGACCGACCGTCCCCACGGCTCCAAGATGGTAGACTATTGCATCTTTGTTGAGCCTCGTCCGCACGAAGCTGGAAGGATTGCCGATGTACGTGAGAAACTTGGACTTACATACATCAACCATACCGATTATCACGCCCTTCGAAAACGCCCTATCATACTCAGTGCCGAGTCTAAGAGGCCTGGCGAGGGTTCTAGAAACGCGCAATTGCAACTCAGCGTCTGGCAAGCTGCGCAATGGGCTTTTATTGAGAAGCTGTTGGCATTCCGGTGGACAACCGAAGAAAACGCGGAGCGGCCACCCATCATTCCGTTCCTCCCAGCGCTTATCATCCAGGGCCATGAATGGCATTTTGCCGCGACTACCAGGTCCAACAACGAAACGGTGCGTACCGATGCCTCTCAGCGCCATAGCTCGCACTAATTGGGATGTATTCTAGACATTGTGGATCAAGCAGCCGATCGGAACCACCGAGAGCCTCCTTGGTATATTCCAGATCATTCATTCTTTGCATCACGTTACGGCGTGGATAGGCAACACATACTGGCCCTGGTACCGACGGGCAATTTTGCAATTGTCGGAGGAAGAAACACCGTCAATTCCCTGAACAGGACGTACTGTGATCGTTCGTCCCATATGTACTCTGTGCTTGAGTCGCTTACCGGCATCAGGTCTTCTAGAGACGTCAGCGCTTGCTGAGACATAGGCTTGGTTCTCAGCATACTCTACAGACCGCTCCTACGTCCTCTCTTTCCTGACTTGCTACGTTACGCCCTCCGGGGCCGAAATCCGCGCGCCGGTTATCAAAGTACAGTAGACACTGCAATCCGGGCCGACGGCAAATGGCGACTAAAGGGCGCTGTGGTGCGATCGGCCACTTAGCAAAGGATGAGAGTGCGTGACATGAGGTGACCGCCTCGTGTAATATCAGCAAGCGGCCGAATTCCACCGCTGAATTATTGGTCCTGATCCCTGCTTATTGAAGCTGAATACTCGGTGTATGGGCCAGTTCAAGCCATGCTTTTGACAGACACGCGACTTCTCGAAGGCGTTGGTCAGGCATTACCGAAGGGGTATGGGTCGCCACGGCTTGACGGCTATACAGAACACGGATTCAAAACGAGCGTGACTCACAGCCGCTACAAGCCTATGGCGAAATATATATCGCTGCTACTGCGGCTTGCGAGCGCAGCCTTTAACTGGTAGAGTCCATAGCCCAGCGGACTTGGCATCGGAAGTTCTCGTCGTGTTCGAAGTAGATAGTATGGTAGGTGGACATGGAGCCCCAGCGTGGCCTCGTCACGCCTTGCCTTACGCGAGTGCCCGGAGGCATCGCTTTGTGATGCCTAGGTGCTGAACACAACTAAAATAATAAATAGATAATGTGGACGAGTCAACAATTTCCCGACGCCCCTGGGCAGTCCCTCTAAGAATGTGTTTGCCAAGTTCCACCATCACTTACCCGGTCCCGCCCGGCAGCCGTCAATGTTGGGATCCTATTCTCCAGCATGATCGTAGTCGCCAAACCGCCTCAACTCTACTACGAAGGTGTACTCTATTATACAGTAGGTAGTAGTTCTTGCGATGGCTAGGAACGGTCTTGGCCATCCGGATAAAGCAAGTATGCAATTAAACCATACGCCCGCTCTGACCGCTTCGCGTCATCAACGCGCGTCTCGGACAGTCAACCCAGATTCCAGATTCCACCTATCTTAGATATAACATCTCAATAGCTGGCTACTGGTATGTCCCGACGTCTCATGACAAACATGCCGGAAATCCCCGACACAGACGAGGCGACAACGGAGGAGCTTTGGAGATTGGTCAAATGTAAGGGCACTGCAGACACAGGATCATTTACTCCACACGCGCGATACGAAGAGGTACATGATGAGGGCAGGGACTCGTCATCTGGTCAAGCCGAGACTGAGATGGAATGGGATGAGAGCGAAGAGGAGGATCCTTGGGAGAAAATGGAAAGAGAGCTATTGGTCGCCAAGGACGACGACCCTCTCATACCGAGCGAAGACCAGATCAGCTCCACGTGGATGAAGGGCTTGGCTACATGGTCGGCTCTCGTATCGGCTGCAGAGCAAATTCCCCCAACCCACTGGCCTGCTGCCATTTTAGATCCCTCGGTCATGCTGAACCAAATGCCCCCTCTTCCTCGAACAGTTCCTCGCAAGACGCTAGCCGGACGACCAACGTGGCGCGTTTCGCATATCGATCACGGGAGTGTGGAGGTCACCGGCGCCAAGCGGTATATAGGCCTCAAGGTTTCGAAGCCTATGCGATGCCTGGTCTCCGATCCGGCCGACTGTTTCCAATACGGGAGGACTGGGGGAGCCTCATCTACGGGGCCTGATACTACTCCAAAAGCGCTATCGATTTTGACGCTGTGCTGGTCCTATATCCTGTCAGTCCGACTGTTGGAACTTCAGGGTAGGCCCGTACATTTTTCCGGGCATCGTTTGCAACCCACTTTGAATCAATACCAATGCGGACCCGAGAAAGTGCTTCTCGAACTCCCCGCTTCGGCTTCCCCCGGTCTCGTTCGTTGGCTATGCGCTGTGTTGGCGCCGGCGCTTGGCTGGGCTACGGATACAACGCAAGATTTCCCACCGTGGGCATCGTTCTGTGCCGGGGATGTGCAATTCGTCATATGTACGGCTCAGGCTATTTCTTTTGCTGATAGCAGAGCTCCAAGCTCTCGTGAAGCGATGGAGTATCTTACTGAGTTCGTCGGCCTGTACAGCCTAGGGCCCGAGCAACCAGGGGACAGCGACCTACACATGTCTTTGGCACCGTACACGGCAGGATTATTGGCAGCGCTGGCACTGCCATTCTACGACATGAATGGTCTCCAGCCGCGGATACCGGCCGCGGGCCTCAAAAGCCCCACCACCTCCGGCCTGACCCCGAGTATGCGTAGAGACATCGAGCAGTACTACAGCGATATACCCTACTATATGACGCTGAGTATGGACCCCCTAGCAGTCGGGTCTATGGTATGGAGCATATTCTGGCAACCGGGAATCAAGTGCAATCTCGTCAGTCCATGGCTAGGATCTATTCTCAGCGCGATCCAGCCCTTGATAGCGTCTAGGGATCTAGGTGGACTCGCAAAAGTATTCATGCTCCGACGGCCGCGCGTTTCTCTGATGTGGTTGGGGATATTTCTCCTGGGTGATCCCGCCATACTCGACCACATAGAGCGCTACCTTGGCCAGCTTGAAGAACGTCGCTTTTGCGGTTCGCTGGCGCGGCCAGATAGTACGGTGGCTTCTTGGACGGGGTCTCGTCAGTCCTTTTGGGATGAAGAAGAGTCGCGGATGGCGGAGAATTGGAGTGAGGTGTCGCGAGCCGACGTCCTCAGACGCCGCCATATCCGACGGTTATGGGACGACCGGTGGTTACTTTTCTCCTGGGAACCATTTGGAATGATTGCGAGAAGGGATATCGAGCCAGAGCTCCTGGAGCAGTTCGAGGTCCCCTATCTGCGTCAATACGTCCACTGGACGTGGCTTGTCGCGGATGAAACTGCACGGATACAGCGTGGATTCAGAGCGGACACGGGCAGATTTGTAGAGAGTAATATCCCGGGCGAGGCAGAGTTGGTTCCTTTGGGGAAACCTTCAAAGCCGGGCACGGGCACGGGCGCGGGCACAAGCCGGCTAGCACCGTCGAAGATGGCTACGTTGTCGATGCTTCACCATAGCATTTCAGACTCGTTGAACGACCGGTCACTGGACATTGCGGCTATTCCGGGTCTCAATAAGGACCACGCATGGCTGCAGGACTGGAGGGGCCTCGAGTGATTCATCTCGACGGGCAATCAAGATTCAGGCAGCTAATACCTAACTAGATTGATAGTATCCCACAATATTCCAACTGACTGTGAAGGCGTCTAGCCATATGTCGCAATAGCACGACGGTTCCGCATCCGGTAAGGAGCATCTTTACCACCGGCTTCGTGGCCTAATGGCTAGGGCGCTAGATTTCGGTGTTCATAACACTCCTCTAGAGATTGTCGGTTCGAGTCCGGCCGAAGTCGATTTATCGTTTTGCTCCGTCTAGTGATTGCTGTCGCTGGCTGGTCTTTTCGTCTACTTATTATTATTTTTTGACACTTGCAAAAGGTACAACGCGAGGGATGTGTCCAAATCATCCGCGCCGGGTATTCCCCGTCAACCAGTACAGAACGGATTGTTTATTCTACCTACAGGCCGGCTCTCTCTATTATGGGCCGGACTTTCTTGCTCGGCCGAGTCCGGAGGCTTCTCCGACCGGCGCGCGGCTAACCGCGGCTAGAACAGTGCCGCTACAGCCCGGCGCCGGTGTCGGCCCAACAAAGCCCCTTATCTTTCCCGATAAAGCGTGCAATTGTCGCTCTTCGACGCTCTCCGACGCGACAACTTGCCAGCGTCAACCATTGCCGGCGCCGTCCCCATCACGAGTGCTCGCTGCCCCACGAGTGCTCCCACCATGTCTGCCTCGCTGCCTGGCAACCGGGAGCTGCCCGAGTCGCAGTATGACCTGAGCACGTACTGGGGTCGCGTGCGCCATACCGCGAGCATCACCGACCCGACGTGAGTCTCCTCTCTCTCTCTCTCTCTCTCTCTACGTCGCGTGTGTGTCCGGTGCTGATCCCACATTCCCCAGCACGCTCCTGGCCGGGAAGAGTGGCCTCGAAAATGCGAAGAGGCTGGTCATGGCGTATAAGCAGGGCGAGATCAAGGAGATGACTCCCGAGCTGTGGAAGGCGAAGAAGATTGTCGACTCGACCATCCATCCCGGTACGCCGATGAGCTTGCGCGCTTCGCTCCAGGACTTCGGCAAGTAGACTTGGCTAATCCCGGCGCGACACCACTATCTAGATACCGGCGAGCCCGTCCTACTGCCCTTTCGAATGTCCTGCTTCGCTCTCTCCAACTTGGTCGTCACGGCGGGGATGCTGACACCGGGCCTATCGGTATGCGCTCCCTCCACACACAAATTCCTGCTGTTTCTCGCTTCCCCCTTATTCTGTCGGGAGCAAGCGGTGATCAAGCTAATCCGTCGTCGTTTTCACACAGAACACGGGCACCGTCCTCTGGCAAATCACGAACCAGTCCCTCAACGTCGCCATCAACCACGCGAACGCGAACAAGTCGACGCCTCTCTCGTACGCAAAGCTCGCGCAATCCTACCTCCTTGCCGTAGGCGCCTCGTGCTCCGTAGCCGTGGGGTTGAACTCCCTCGTGCCCCGCCTGAAGCGCGTATCGCCCTCGACGAGGCTGATTCTCGGTCGTCTTGTGCCCTTCGCCGCCGTCGCGTCCGCCGGCTTCCTCAATGTCTTCCTCATGCGAGGCGAGGAGATGCGCGTCGGCATCGACGTGTACCCCGTGCTCTCGGCCGCCGATAAGGCACGACTGGCGGCCGAAGGAAAGGCCGAAGGCGACGTGCCGTCGCTGGGCAAGAGTCGCAAGGCCGCCAGGCTGGCGGTCGGCGAGACGGCGCTCAGTCGCGTGCTCAATAGCAGCCCCATCATGGTCGTGCCACCGCTCATTCTCGTCCGGCTGCAGCGCACCGAGTGGTTGCGCAGAAACCCGCGCTTCACGCTCCCTGTGAACTTGGGCCTCATCCTCGGCATGAGCTACGTTGCGTTGCCGCTTGCACTTGCAGCGTTCCCACAGCGCCAGCGGATCCGCGCCGAGAGTCTCGAGGAGGAGTTCCACGGTCGTGGTGGAGATGCTGGCATGGTCGTTTTCAATCGTGGAATCTGACAACAGGTCCCAGGGAATCCTTCGGAGTATTAAAGTCTTATTAGAGTCATATAGAGGTATTGATGCGAGCATTAGATTTCATTTTTAACGATTGGAAGATTTACGAATCTCTTATTTTCGATTGCCGGGCGTCACTGGCACGGGACGACTGGCCTGTCGTTTTGTCTGAGCCGGCAAATAGGGGCTGATGATGAATGACATCATGTTCAGAAATAGACCACCGAAACGAGAGCCCCGATGGAATCCTCTCGTGAAAAAGCGAGGGAGTACTCTTTCAGGGGAGATAGAAGCCATAAGAAGGCTCGAATACAATCCGTTGTGCATCGACCGGCTATACCGGCTATCAATCACTCTACCTCTACCTGTCCGTGGCTTGAACCCGATGGCCATGAATCTTGTGTACCGTTTTGTACCCTCACGATTATTCATGTAGCGACTTGCGAGGAATCAGGAGTCTGATTCTATCCTTCACCGTGCCGTCAACCTGGCCGGCGTTCGGAGTTCCTATCCAGCACAGGCTTGCAGTTTGCCTGCTGGCGTAGATGCTACACTACCCAGTCTTTAATCTGATTGATCATCAGCGAGGCCCAATATATACTTATATATAGCTATGGACAGCGTCGGGCCTCACGATTCAGCATGGGAGACAGCGTCTAATTAGTGTTCGTGCACGATTTCTGCGCGATTTGTGACGGATAGATACTACGTCAGGGCCATTCGCATTCATGGGGAAATGACTAGACAGGCAAGACACTAACAAATTCTGGATCAGCCTCTGGTGATCGTGGACGTAATTTGTTCTAATGTACTTTGCTTCTGCTCGCGTCCCCGCGGTGCGTGCCAACTCATTCCCGTTCCAAATTCGCACTCCAACGTCGCCTCAGTCCTTGAACGTTGCTGCCTCCCAACATGAGTGATTTGATCTATTGAGCGGTTAGATATTAGAAGTACTCAGCATCGTATTGATCTATATGGCCGCCGTGGCGCGGTATACCACCGCCTACAGACTGTCGCCGTATAGGCATATACAAAAGGGGCACCAACACAAGTTACGACCCAACCAGATCCACCATATTGATTACCCGTTCGGAAGCATTGCTTAAACCTCCCAGCCTTGCTAAGGCATAGTACTTGACCAAAATACCGCTTGCTTCCACCCATGTTCACTCATTGGGTGAGTCCTTTGCAGTAGTGGTCACGCGGACGGAAGACAAGCCTGTGCCGGTCTCATCTAGTCCTCCTGCCCACATGGACGTGACATGGTGCGGTCGAGGACAGGGCTCGTCTCATGATAAGCTATGGCCTTGCCAGTGCATCCCCGGACCCGAAGAAGAATGGCGACAAGGCATCGTAAGTCGCAAGCCTCATTTCAGCACCACTTAGCCAACGGTCCGGTAGGAACTTGAACGACTGCGGAAAGTATTCTTCATTGTGGTGGGGACTGTAGATGTTCACACCAACCTGCGTCCCAGGCGGTATGACGTCCCCGTCCACAATCAGGGGCTGGCTTTTCTCAAGCACTGCTTCGCGACAAAAGTTGAGAGTACCGGGGGTGTCATTCGTGAAGACTAGATAGTCGATACACGCACGAAGGTATACTTCCGCAGCCAAGCGCAGATGCAATTGTTTCGCCACCTGTGAAATGGTTAGAGACTATCACAGCTTCGCTTCGCTTCACAAGATAGATCGCAAACCTGCAGCGAAGAAGAATACACCCTCCATCGAGGGGTTCCCTCCACCTCAAATTCTGAACGTCGACATCCGAAGTACTATGGAAGACAGGGAGCACATCATGTTTTGCATTGACCAGCTCCAAGAGTCGAGTAGTACTCGTTTTCGAGATGATGCCTGGGAGCCAGGCTCGTCGACCGTTGGTAAATAGATTTATAATCAAGTCAGGTTTCACTTAGGTTAGCGAGGTGTACTGCAGGCAGGTATTCACACGATATTTCCCAAACGGGACGGCTTTGGTACGATAACTGTGAGTATCATCGTAGTCGTCATGAAAATCTTGCTTTCATCTGGCTGTGTAGCAGGGTAGGCGTATGATTTTGTGACTCTCTCGTTTTCGTGAATATATATGTACCGTGCCTCAGAAGTTCCCGAGCGCTTGTTGGGAGGATTCACAGTGCGATATGTCATCTCGTTGCGGCGCGTGGAGGCATTGTCCCGTTGTAAGCGCGTGAACTGGATACTAACAAGTCCATTTTCACTGGTAGTTATCGGATATAATGTGTGACGAAGGGGCAGGCTGAGTGACGTACTTCACCCAAATGCGGTGCGCACCGCGTTGATGCATGGGAAGAGGCCGGGGGGTGAGGCGAAAGTTGTGACGAGATTCTTCAGCAGGTTAGCTTGTAGAAATGTAGACAGTAGATCGATCTAACGAATAGGTAGATTCAAAGAAGGATAAAACCATCCAAAGGCAGAGAATCGAAGAGTTCCCTTACATACCAAGAGAGATCCGGGTATGTCCCGTACTTGGAGTCCTGCAGACTGATATCCCTTGATTCCCGTAAGGGATCTCGATAACTGAGGGCTATACGGAACGCACGCAAATTATACCGGCGAGGATGACCATCAAAGTCTTTGAGCTGATTCGATAGGATGACCGTAGACGCTAGATAGTCACTCACAACAGCCCATCCTTTACCGGTTCCTTCGTCGCCACGTCGGAGCAAAACGTCACATCATACAAAGCTCCGAGCCACAAAACCCGAGGTCCTGCTATGAGTGAATCTGGGCCTTGCCTACTTTACGCCTTGTAGATTGAGTAGATATTAAGTGGCTCCTTTGCTTTGACTGAATACGTCTACACGATCTACCACCATCCATAGTGATCAATCGCTCAAGTTTATAGCGACGGCAGTGGTAGACTCCATTGCATTGAGTAGTTTCTTTTTAAGACACCCGCAAGACCCCTTAGATGAAGGCAGCTCTTAGGACCTACCGACGAGGGAAGAACGTCAGGGCGAAGTGGCCAGCTGATCGGCTGAGCATTGGCACGTTCATCCATGATGGAAGCGGCCGCCGGAACATCATAGGTTATGTACGCCCATAACGGTCATTTCATTGACCATGACCCTACGGGGCTGGATACCACCTTGTTTTCCTCATCACCGAGGGGCTTCCCTCATGGACCAAGCGCAACAATACGCGTTGGAGGCCGCGTAACATTCTTTGAAAATGGCACGAGCTTGTCGAGTTTCGCACCATGGCTGAACCAGACGAAGATATCGGACCAAACTGTAATAGTTAGATATAGGCGGCGGGCGTTACACGTATGCCG